GTAAACGCGTCTGCCATAGTGAGCTCGCGCTGCCGTTTGGACTTTGAGCCGAGCGGATAAACGGTCCGTGTGGCGCGCGGTTCAAATGAGTTTCGTTCCGCTTTTGGCACATACACATTATCGAACATTTATCGACCTCTTGATATCGTTTTATCGAGAAAAATTATATCGCGATAATTATCGTTATCGTTTTATCGCCCAGCCCTAGCTGCAGTATGAGAAGCCATTGTTTAAAATAATTTTAGTATATAACGAATTACTTAAGCCTTAGAGCGCGCAGACGAAACGCAATGAATTTATCTTGCTTTCAGAGGCGGATGCCTGCTGTTTGGGAACGCAGTCATGTAAGACAGTTCTAGGAAGGTAATTATACTGAACCAGTTTGACGACAGACTTTGCTTAGGCATTTCAGAATGACCAAAACAGCATTTCAGATGCTGTGCAACGAGATTGGTCCGCTGGTTAGTCCAGTTATGCAGTCTCATCCCAAAGTCACGTCTTTTTTGGTGCGCATCGAGGAATTTATTCAGTAAATGTGTTTCCATCATAGTTTATGCACGTTTTCTTATCAGATAAAAAGTTTATCTGGCAATTTAAAGAATCAAGTCAACCTCACTGCAAATAGGCTTTCTAACTAATGTAAATTAATATTTACACAGTCTAACATTATTAAATGAATGCATCTTCAATGTGTCCCACATTGTGTTTCTACTTTGGATAACCATAATAGACGGTGTTAATATCATCAACTTTGTCATTGTTTTCACCACAATAGAGTAAGTGCACTAAAAGACAGATGACAGTGCTGGACCGGCCAAACCCTTCCTGAACGGTAAACACCACCATAAGGAAGTCAAAGCAAAGTCAGTCAATATTAAAGGTGACATATTATGCCCCTTTTCACAAGATGTAATATAAATCTATGGTGTCCCTAGAATGTGTCTGTGAAATTTCAGCCCAAAATACCCCCCAGATTATTTATTATAGCTTGTCAAAGTTGCCCCTTTTTGTGAAAAAAAAGCGTCATTTTTGTGTCCCTTTAAATGCAAATGAGCTGCTGCTCCCCTCCTCCGTTCAGAAGACCGCCGATCCTTTACATGAGCTTCGGATACAATAACAAAACAAGCAAATTTCAGTCAAATTTCAGAAATAAGTAGTGGAGTGCAGCCTTACAGAGAGACTCAGGAAGAGGTTGCAACTTTTAGACTGCACCTGGACGTTTCTGAATGGTTAGTGGATACATGTAGTTGTTGAGTTACATTGATTCATCTCATCGATGTACTGTCATGTTTAACTTTTACAAAAGTTGACACAGTTCACTGAGGTCTTTATAAGACAGCTTTGACATTTTTTTGGGTCAACAAGTGTTCAGTGCTCGTCTGTGCAGCCAACGACAGAACCGTTTGCATGCTTTGCTCGAACTTCTACCATTGTGTTAGAACTGGTTACACTGTTATCTCTTGCGAAAACCAAATGGCGTCGCCGTGGGTGGAAACATGCAGATTAAGGGGCGGTAATATTATAATAAGATCCCCTTCCTACGTCAGAAGGGGAGCGAAATCTGATCGGCTTATTTTTTGACACGTTTGCAGAGAAAGGCTTACCAAAACAAAGTTACTGAGTTGTCACTTTTCATGTTTTCTAGGTTGGTAGATACACTGGGGACCCGGTTATAACACTTAAACATGGGAAAAAGTCAGATTTTCATAATATGCCCCCTTTAATGACCTCTCTCTGGGTATTTCACAAGATGGCACATATGCACTGTAGAACTACACACTTTGTTAGGATTGTCTCTCATGCCACTTCAATATGCTGCCACAAGTAATTTAGGAGCTAATAAATAAATAAATACATAAAAAGCTTTTTAAGAAAAGGCACAGTCACTGATCTTTAGTAAACCATTGGATTTCTTCTTCACCGTACATGAGAGAATATATTTAGAATTTGTAACAAGCATTTTAGTATTGTTATATTTGATAGAAGAAAGCCCCGTTCACACTACACGCGACCAAGCGACGCGATACCATTCATTTCAATGGTGAGCGGGCGACTTCCGGCGACACGCGCGACAGCGACCGTTGGCGACTAGATGGGGCGTGTCTAGCGACGCGACAAAGTAGAAATTTTTTTAACTTTATGCAAATGAAGAGCGATTTTCGCGAGCGACAACCAATAGGAGTGGAGCGCACGTGATCCTTCTCCTCAGCCCCTGGGCCTGCAGTGATGGATGGCAAGAAAGCTGATTCGCTGTCTTTTGGATGTCATACTAGTCAACCAGTAGTGGGAACGCCCACTAGCGACCTCATCGCCAGCACCTGGCGACTTGCAGCGACAGTCGCGTGTAGTGTGAACGGGGCTGAAGCAGTATATGACTCTATCATCCTCCATCTATAACTCACTGGCCAGTCATGTTGTAACTTACAAAAATAATAGCGCCATAACAAATCCAAGTCCCAAAGAGAATCAACTTTTCTGTTTTCTCCAGAGGAGGGAGGGACTACCTTAAAGGGATACTTCACCTCTGGAAAGATGAATGTGTATTTAAAATGGGTCATTTATGTAGAAGAAATGTGAAATTATTTTTGAATTTGGAGCTTTCTAGACTGAGAAAAGCCAGAAAATGTATTATTGGCTTATGTGGATGAAAGACAACAACTCCCAGAATGCACTTGCTTCGCTGCCCTAGGAGGCCACGCCTACCGGTAACAGAGCGCAGTAGTTAAACAACAAGTCTAGGCTACTAGTGAGTCTCCGTGATGAGTCTGCCCGAAAATGTGTTTTGAGATAGCCCAAAATGCCCGGGATTCGGCTTTTGCGATCTACAGTCGTCATTCATTATGTTTACTGTGGCAAGCAGGACGAGACTGAGGGCCGCGGGAGAACGGCGTGAGGCCGGTGGCGTGATGACCGATGAGCGACACCTGTGAGACGCACGGTCTCGTATCTCTCACGGAGGAGCGGGAATTTTCTTAGCAATGTTAAAACGCACATCAACCGATCACTTGTTTAGCGTTCATGTAAACACTACATTCAGATTCACCAACCGGAATGAATTCAGTTAGATTGAAACAAAAGGTGTGCATGTAAACAATGAATGGCGACTGCAGAAAGCAAAAGCTGAATCCCGGACATCGATGGCCGGACATGTCCGGGAAAAAGAGGATGGTAACCCCACTGATCTATATAATGACTGGATAGCTCATGACGTTCTAAACTGCCACCAAGCAGTGAAGCCACCGGAAGTGTTCGAGCGGCCATCTTACGATTCCCTACCAGCAGAGGGCTCCAACGGCCGTTATACAGAGATAGTGGCTCCGACGGCACTTTTAAGATGACCCGCTGTGCATTAACAAGTGTAAAACGAAGATCACAAAAGGATCTTGAAAAACTGCTCACAGGTTGTGCTTTAAGCCCATATATAGTAATTTATATGCACAATTGTCGCTATTTCCGTGTTGTTTAAAAAAAATGTATAGCCTGCTATGTTCTTTCACAGACGTATTCAAGTTTAAACCCAATAAATACGTATTATTCAATGCATTACTTCTTATAAATTTAATTAAATGCGTTTATTTAATATTTTCATGTCAATCCGTGTTCAGTTTGACCACGAACCATGCGCTGTCACTTTAATTCAGCGCCTGCAGCACAAACGATCTTGGACGGGCATCCGAATGCAGTGAAAGCTCCAACCTGTTGACATGGGTATGGTAAAAAAAATATGCACTGCAAACGGAGTAGGCCTATGTGTAAACCCCTTATTTACACTGCACACATCTGGGGCGCATTACGGTTCCGACAATGTTTTATTCCTACCTTCACGCGGTGTCAACTCACACCAGGAGCATTTCCACGTGATTTGCCGATTTGTGGGCGCGATCAGCGCCGTGTCGCAGCTGTAAACGCGCCGCTGACGTGTGCAGTGTAAATAAGGGGTAAATAAGAGGTGAAACAGGTACACATTAACCCATACAATTTGTATTATACATTTCCTGGACATGTTCTTGCTAACTAATCAAATACTTGAACAGACTACTGATCTATCTGTAAAACACAATTAGAAAGAGCTACATTTTAAGTTCACAATTATACTTAATTTTTAGTAAGCAGGAATAATTTCCGACTTTAAACAAATACCCATTTAAATGCTTAGGATGTTTGCGTTGTAAGACTGTTCAGGGAGACTTTAGATTTAAAGACGGTGTCTCGTTAGGCAATGTTTTCTTAGTCAAATCATACAATTTCCTATTGATTCAATAGAACGCGTGAGCTCACTAGGGAATCACAATATGGCGGCGCGGTGGCTTCACTGTTTATGACGTCATGAGCTATCCAGTCATTCTGTATAGATCAGTGGGTAACCCCTACTACTCAGCTTTCTCCACAGAACAAGAGCCTGCTAGCTTAGCTTCCAAAAAAAGATGGCTGACACTATGTGTACATTCTGTGAGTGAGATCCCACCCTCTATGGGCGGGTTGAGAACATGCGGGACAGCCCCTACTACTGGCTGTAGTCTTTAGCCTCTGGCCAGACAAAAAATACATAAATCTCTCATCTCAGGGGGATATGAGGGTGGAAAGCACGGTAATTTGAAAATACTACAGGTTTTCTAGTACTAATACAAAGCTTAATGCTAAATCCTGAAGTATCCCTTTAACTTTCAGTTTGTGTTTATCACACCTAATGTAATATTTGCTGCAGTCTACATTATTAACAAACAATAAAAAAGTAGTTGTCCAACCTTATTATTCGATTCAACATGTCAATATCTTAAAATTAACCAAATAATTCAATTTGTTGTGGTTTATAGAACATTTTGCAAGCGTTATATTATTTTTTACCATAATGTTAGATAAAGCTCAGTTTTAATTTATTTTTTTGTGTAATAAAATTATGTTTATGTTAAAAATGTCAAGTACTACAGTATTCTTATTGAATTCGTATTTAATATGTATTTCCAGTGAAACAACATTTTTCATTGATATCAAATACTCACCAAAATGCAATCCACCTTTGATTGTACAGTTTTGCTGCAAAAAAAGACAAGAGAAATAATCAGCATGACACAAGGGTAACTTGAGAAACATTCATAAAGCTGGCTTTATTAATAAATCAGTGGCATTCAAAACATCTTTCCATCCTCTAACCCGTCGGCCCCGTCCGCCTCAGACCAATATATCCTCAGGAACACGTGCTTACGCACAAAAAAAAAAGTATCTTGCTTTAGTGTTCCATCAAACTGGAGGTCTATAAATATTCCTGCCAATCTGAATGTTTTGACCATCAGGAACTGGAATGAACCAGTATGGAATCTATATACACAGGTATGGAACAGTAGATAGAATCAAATTTGCATTCAGAGTAATGTAAAGATACTTTCCTTGGATGGCTATAGAATAAATTGAACATTCAAAAGATACTATACTCTGGGTACAATCACAGGTCAATCTGCATTAAAGGTGAGAAATTAGAATTAAAAAAGTGACCCCTTGCAAAATGCACACACACATTTCTTAACTAACCAGAAACATTTTCTCTTCCATTTCCTTCAACATCACAAGAAATGTCACGTCAGGCCACACAGTGGCTGTACAACAAGACGGTGCAAGGACAACAGAGAACAGGGCACTTTGAATTCAGTGTATTTACTGGTTGTTCGCATGACCTGCAGATAAAATATACACATAGTGCAAAACAATAAATGGTACTTTAAAGGACAAGTTCGGTATTTTACACTTAAAGCCCTGTTTTAAGATTGTTTCTGATGAAATAGAATGGTTAAGATTGAAATTTGGACACATGCTGCTGGCCCGTAGGGCTGTCGCGGTGAAGGAATTTCCCTTGCGGTAATTTTGAGTGGCTCAATAGCGCGATATCCGGTATCACCGCCATTTATTTATTTATTTATATTTATTTGTTGCTATATAAATACGTGTTATGATGTGGTCAGCATACACAAAAACAATGTAACCGAAACTAAACAGCGTCTCTGCACGCTGAGTGACAGTCTTTCAATGGGCAGTTACATTGTTACGCCAACGGACTGTCTTCGAGTGAGTCATTAAACCGTTCATTCAACGAAAACGTGCAAAAAAGCTGATTAATCGTTTTGATATGCCTGGCCCTCGAAAGCGAATCTCAAGAATCGCCTGTGATGGGACGCTATTTGTATTTGGAAATAGGCGTCTTTCAGATCTATTGACATAAACCAGTCCCCGTGGCGCACTTGCGCGAGGATTTTCCTGGTCGAAAGCATTCTGAACTGGCGTTTCACAAGTGCTCTGTTCAGCTGTCGCAGATCTAAATTGGGTCTGAGACCTCCATCTTTTTTCGGTACCAGAAAATATCTGCTGTGTAGGCCCCCTTTGCTCTGAGCTTGAGATAAAGGTTCTATAGCACCTTTGCTCAGTAGTTTCGCTATCTCGGCTCGAAGTAGATGAGATACTTCGTTTTTCACCGTAGTCTTGACGAGCGCCGTATAACGGCGGGGACGTCGAGCAAACTGTAGTGAATAGCCTCTTTTTATAGTGTTCAGCACCCATTCTGATACCCCAGGAAGCTGTGCCCACACTTTCGCGTGAATAGCTAGGGGTAGAATGAGATCTGGGCTCTGGCCGAGATAGTGATGGCAAGGGAGCTCCGGCGTGCTGTAACGCAGACACTGTGTTTACAGTGTGTGAGGCGGGGGGCGCGCCGATCGTGGCGGGCAGCCTGGCCGCGCTCAAAACCCTTATAGCAGTTTGCTGAGGGAGAGAGAGCGGGGCGAGCCCCGTGGGGCTTAACATGTCTGTGAGTGAATGTGGGCGCAGGACAGCGGGCACATTTACTGCACTGAAAAACACCGTCGGCCTGAGCTGACTGAATGCGTGTTGGTTTCGTTTTTACAGAACCCGTGGGACATGTGGTGTGTAGTGTTTGTGGGCACTGAGACGTAGGGACATTCACTACATTTAGTGCACAATCGACATGAGGCGATTTTGTTTGTGCGAGCCCTGCATTTTTGCGGGCTGTGTTTGTGTGTAGAAATGAGCCCTGGGTTGTGGGCATTTTCAATACACTCATAACACCATCGGCTGTGGCCGGAATACCAGAAGATACACCGTTTATGTGATTTATCTGGGTCGCCGTGGGAACAGCATTTGTGTGCAGGCAAGCGGGCATGGTACTGGCTTGCTTACTGCAAAATACACTGGAACAGTCACATTTTCTGGAACTGAACGAGCGAAAATTTCAGTGGAAGTCTGGCCACGGCGAGACTGAAACACCGTCGATTTCCTAGGAGGCTAGGAAGACTTGTGTTGGTTTCGTTTTACAGAAACCGTGGTAGTGTTTGTGGGCACTGGGTTGTGGGCACATTCACTACATTTAATGCACAATTGACATGCGTCGATTTCATTTGTGCGAGCCCTGTACCGTGGCGGGCTGTGTTTGTGTGTAGAAATGAACACTGGGCTGTGAGCATTTTATTACACTTATAACACCATCGGCTGTGGCCGGAAAACCAGAAATACAATGATTACATGATTTTTCTGGGTCGCCGTGGAAATGGCCTTTATGTGCAGGCAAGCGGGCCGTTGTTTACTGCAAAATACACTGGAACAGTCGCATTTTCTGGAACTGAACGAGCGAAAAGTTTCGGTGGAAGTCTGGCCACGGCGAGACAAAATTTTTATCTGCTGCAAAAGCCGGGATCGAACACGGGTCTCTCGCGCGAAGGCTTCGGGTTCCGCCACTGGGCCACAGGGAGAACTACATTAGCGCAAGCTGCTAGTGTGTCGGCGTTTGTATGCAGGTGTGCGTGTTATACAACAGGCTCATTGCTGCAATAATGACATTTTCAGCCGCTCAAACTAGGAGCTGTGAAATGTTTCAGAAATGGAGATTAGTCCGGCCTCGGCGGGGACTAAAACACACTCTTTTCTCATTTGCCGGTGACGCACGCCCATGGGGGGCGGAGTAGATTTCTTATAACGTAAAGAAACCTAGCCGCGGTTTTAGGGCTCACGGTCTTGATGCTGGCCTGTTTCCCTGACGACTCGCGGACAGAAGGGGGAGGTCCACAGAGCTCGCCTGTTGCGCGGGCGCCTCCCAGTCGAGGCCGATGCTTTCCACGGCCTGAGAGAGCAGACGCATCAGCTCAGTCTCAATGCCGGCTCTCTTACCAGTGGTTTGGCGGGAAACGCTAGCGGAGGGGAGGTCCACGGAGCTCGCCCAATCCTCGCTATCAGATGTCAGAAGAGAACTCGCCTCGGTGGGTTCGTCGAACTCGTGGACGGACGTGGCGGCAGGCGGCGGCCGTTGTCCGTCAGTGAGCGACTCGAGCGAAGCCGGCGAAGCTGGCGGGCGAACCGGCGAGCTTTGGCGGGCTGGAGAGAGCTCGGGAGCGCGCTGGGCGCGGCGCTTCTTGCGGCGCAGCACCACGGCGGGCTGTGGTGAAGGCTCGGAGAATGATGCCAGGCGAGTCCTCAGAGTCACCATAGGCAAAAACTCGCAATGAGGGCATCCGCAGTCAGCGAGCGCGATGGCCGCGTGATCCTCACCCAGGCAGGACACACAGATGACGTGACGGTCCCCGTCGCTGAGTGGGGCGCGGCACGAGCCACAGGATGCCATCTTTAAAAAGACGCAGCTCTTTTGTGATGAGAAGTGTGAGTCGCGTCAAGTAAGCGAGCAAACACTCTCAGCAGAGTAAGGATACAAAGTGATATAAAAGGATATAGAACGCCGGAAAGCGCAGCAGGTACGGCAGTTGAAGGCGGCGAGGCCAGCGACTCCAGAGCTCGTCCCGCTAAAAAGCTTGCTTCGACGGCGCGGCTTTTCACTCCGGATCCAGCGATGCGTGTGCTTCGCTGAAGAGATGAAAATCAGCTTGTACCAGCCTAACGAGCATATTTATAGAGTGAGACCACGCCCTTTCTGGCGGGACGTGACGATATGGGCGGGAGTTGCCCCCATTGGTCATTACGTCACGCAGAGTCTCTCTTGATATGCTGCTGCATTTGCCGCAAGAGCAGCCAATAGGCGCGCGAGCTGTCTCGCCTGTGTCTGCTTGCTGCTGCAAAGCGTTTTACATTAATACAAAATTAAGGATAATTTTTGGCTTCAATATCTCGTGGAAAAGAGGTTTTCCCCATAGCGTAAGCTATTACGCAGTACGAGAGATACTCTCGTAAGAGAACAGGTAAGATGCCTTTGGATTTAAGAATCGGAATGTAAAAAAAAAAGATGGTCTTCATTATTACAGAATGCTGTCGTCAAAGACTATGGTTGCAAGCCATTAAATGAACAGGCGGGACAGATGAAACCTGCGATGAGTACCCTACTATTAAAGAATGAATTTGATGAAAACAGTACTCACATATGCAGTTCATGAAGGCATAATGTATTAGCCCATAGTTACAGCATGAAATATTTAAACAGAAGTGCAGGATATAAACTCGCAATTTTGAGGAAAAAGGCAGAATATTGAGTTTATCTTGCAATTCCGATTTTTCTTATCAGAGTTGTAAAATATAAACTCAAAATTGCAAGGAAAATGTCAGAATTTGTTATTTAAAATATCTAATGGATGAACTCGCGCCTCGATTGGACTCAAATGATTTAATTACGCGCTGTCAATCATGGTAAAACTTGACAGTTGTATGGACACCACCATGTTTGACACTGTTGCTATGGTTACTGCTATAGTTAATTAGAATGCGGTTGTGACTTCAGCTGTTTGATCATACAGCTGAATGAACATATTCAAGCAGCTACTTTAATCTCCTGAATGAACAAAACATTTCAAGATTCACACTTGTAAGCAATTGCTGCTAAATAATCGTTAGATTATTCGATTAATCAAAACAATTATTGATAGATTAATCAATTGAAAAAATATTTATTTCCAGCCCTAGAAATTACCTTTTTTATACTTTTATTCCATAGACTAGGCTACTACTGCAGAACTGTTACTTTCTGCCACCAGATCGGCTCCAGCTTTTGCGGGCGCGAACGAGACAAAACGTACAAGTTTCGGGCGGGAGCAGAA